CCCCAAAACCCCCTCAGGTGCTGGCAGTGTCTGTCCCCCCCCCATTTAACCCCTATTTTCCCCCTTGCAGGGAGAGCGTGGTGAACCCGGTGCCCCCGGTCCTGCTGGATTTGCTGGCCCCCCTGTGAGTATTTGGGCCCCGCTCCCCCCACCCTGGCATGACCCCCACACCGGCTCACGGTGGCCCCTTCCCCGCAGGGAGCCGACGGGCAACCCGGTGCCAAAGGAGAGCAAGGAGAGCCTGGGCAGAAGGGGGATGCCGGTGCCCCCGGTCCCCAAGGTCCCTCCGGAGCACCTGGCCCACAGGTGGGTCCAGCCCCCAAACTTGGGGGGGGACACGGGAGGACATGACCCCACGAGGGTCCCCCTCCCCGGGAAATTTGGGGGGTATCACCCGGTGGGCACATCTCTAACTCGTTTTCCTCCCCTGCCCAGGGTCCAACTGGTGTAACTGGTCCCAAAGGAGCCCGGGGTGCTCAGGGTCCCCCCGTAAGTATTTAGGTGGGGGAGGGTGAGCTGGGGAGAGGGTGGCTGGGGGGAGTGCGGTGCAGCATCGGAGCCCCCCCCTTCTCCTCTCCTTCTCATCCTCAGGGAGCCACCGGATTCCCCGGCGCCGCTGGCCGCGTGGGACCACCCGGCCCTAACGTGAGTTGGGGGGCAACTGGGATCACTTTGGGGTAACTGGGATGGCTTGGGGAGGAGCTGGGATCTCTTGGGGGTGACTGGGATCTCCTGGGGGCAACTGGGACCTCTCAGGGGCAACTGGGATGGCTTGGGGAGCGGCTGGGATCTCTTGGGGGCAACTGGGATCTCCTGGGGGCAAATGGGACCTCTCGGGGGCAACTGGGATGGCTTGGGAGCAGCTGAGATCTCTTGGGGGCAACTGGGATCTCCTGAGGGCAACTGGCATGGCTTGGGAGCAGCTGGGATCTCCTGGGGGCAACCAGGATCGCTCAGGGGCAACTGGATTGCTCGGTGGGCAACCAGGATGGCTTGGAGGCATCCAGGATTACCTGGGGGCAACCGGGATCTCTCGGGGCAGCTGAGATGGCTCAGGGGCAACCAGGATCATTTGGGGGCAGGTGGGATCGCGGGGGGGGGAGCAC